TCTTTCAAAACCAATAAAGACAAAAGCTTCCTAATTAACTTAACTCACAATGAACTTTCAGTTCTACAGATACTTAAAAAGAGAAAACCAGAATTATATATCATAACCACTTGCTCAGTATGCAAACTTTAAGAAGAGACACTAGGACATCTTTTTGAATGTCCAGCTACTAGGAAAACTTGGAAGAACTTATGGCAAAAGGCAAATGAAAAGTTCAAGAAACTCATTGATAAAGAAATAAAAAATAAGAAAAAAGTTCAACCTAAAATAAATGACTAGATAGACAAATGGTTAGAAGAGATCCAGAAATCTGATAGAGGCCTTTTCAATATCATCTATGGATATATGGAAGAAAGCAAGATCACCTCCTTGAAGAAGTATCTCAAAGAGCAGCTCAAGATTCCATTAGCAAACATACAGAGTATAATCAATAAACTCTATCAAAAGATGTAAGCAAATTTTAAAAAGAAGATCTGAAATACTCGCTGTGCCAAAGTTATATAATAGAAAAAGAAGCAAAACATTACAGAAGAGGACAAAAGAAATAAGAGGTCCAATCCAGACCTGACGAATAGATCGAACAAAACCAAAAAGAACTGACATTACCTTCAAAGAATTCGAATTTGGAAGATATCAAAGAAATAGAAGAAAAGACAGTGATTATTAAGAATTGGGTTTGTTACAAAATAAAGTGATTCAGTTTTTAACTGCAAATAGAAATTAGAATGATCTACAGTAATGAACTATAGGCAATGATTTTATTAATTGGAAGATTTATCCAAATTAGTAAAGGAGCAAAATATCATTTCCTAGGTTGCATTTAGAAAAATAGCTTTTTAATAATAAATGAATAAGTATGTAAAGGTTACAATAATTTGTAAATACCTAGCATATATACAATAAAAACATGCTATACTAACCTGACTGTGGGTTAAAAAAAAAAAAACATCAAGAATTTTGACTGAAAAATCTTTTTTACATTCAGTAATTATTTGAATATTCATCTATATCTCTTGAGTAAAGTCTTGTTCTTACCTATTTATTATTGTAAACTATGATTAACTTTAATATCATTAATATAAAAGAATTGTTTAATGATATTGATGATGTATTATAATATTGTTTTATTGTTTGTGATCCAAGTAGTATCATCCATATGTGTACTAATAGCATGTTATAAATAATAATAACACCACTGCAATTTATAAATAATAAAATTGATATATAATATATAATGCTAAATAATCAAAATAAATTTAAATTAAAATTTTTAATTTTTATATATTTTATTTTCAAATTATTTTATATAATTATTGTTATCTCAAAACCTATGATTTTTATAAAATAAATATTTTAAATTAATCTTTATGGTCGAATTAATGAAACAAATTAGATAATATAAAATAAAAATACATTTTTTTAAGGATTTTAAAAATTATTTAAAACATTATAAATTCAACAAATAATATAATGGTTTTTGATAAAAATTTGAACCATTGTTAAATATAATTTTAAATGATTTTTTACCAATTTATAAATTAATATTATTAAAAATATTTCAATACATTTATTATGAATATTAATTTCAATTACTATATAATTTTTTTAAAATGAAAAAATTATTTATTCAAATTCCAAGTTATTTCATCCTTTGTATAATTCAAAAATCACAAAGTAATATTACAACTTGCATACTAACAAAAATATTAAATGTAATCACATTGCTCGAATTTATTTTACTTAAATTTCACGATAAAGATTGCAGAGATCGCAGGTATTGAAGCTTCTTTTCGAAGATGCTCAGAAATTAAACAGAACTTTTCTTAAGCAATGCCGGTTTATGCTCCCTTAAACTTTCGGCAACTCCCGTAAAATGATTGACCAACTTAACTTCGTCAATGGCACGAGTAAATTGACATTTTAACGCACCAGATGCCGAGGATTTTGGGTGGTAGGATTTGGCAATTTCAGCCATTACTTCTAGAGATGTACTATTTATTGTGCTACTGAAGAGAACTGTATAAAGATAAACTGGAGACCTACAATGATTGAATCAATAGATTCGAGTTATTTTTTTTATTATTATCGAGTAAAAGAGAAGGCGTAATTTTAAATACATTTACCCTCTTTGTTTATTCCTCAAACAAATTTGCCGTAACTGATTTTCGGGAATTCCGCATTCTCCATCAGAGCAAAAGATTATGATTGGACATCTAACAATATTAAGAAATTAGTCAATTGATCGTTGCACATATTATTCAAGAAAAAGAAGTAGCATACTTGGTAGGATCAAAGTGGTTGTCAATGACAAACCCAGCTTTCTGAATGGCTAAATCAAAATTTGTGCCTCCTCTGGCCGTGTTTCTAAGCATATTGCTCAAGAATTGATTTGGATCAACCAAGGGAGCATGTTCAATTTCGACATGGGCTTCGTGATCAAAAAGTATCAATGAGACGGTATCTTTTGGAGTTAATGAAGCGTTATATGAAAAAGAGTTATTCGACCGGAATGTCGAAATACGGGTGTCTATGAATGAGTAGACCTAGAAAAATTTGAAAGATTTGGTTAAAGCAGTATTCTATGGTCAAAGCATCTAGGATGATAGAAAGTTTACCGCATTGTATACGGCACCAAGTCGATTATTATGGGACCTGACCAACTGATTATAAATTGGAGTATTTTGCAACGGTCTTTTATCGGTGTCATACATTGACCCGGATCGATCCAAAACGAACACAATGTGAAACGCGGCCTCTCTCGTAGCAGGGTTTTCGCAATTGAAGTGATGCCCATCCAATGAAATGTACCCACATCCATTAGGTGGTGGCAACGAAGGATCCGACGGCGCGTGAAAGAGTTTCAATTCACAATATGACTTTGAAGGCATAGCATTCAAGGGATTGGATGCTTTCTTGTGGTTTTCATCTGGACATTCATGATCGCACTTTGTAAATTCTTGTTGTTCTTGGGCAGTGTATGGATCTATAGGATTTCAAATATGTTATTCCACATGTAATATCAAAAAGACCGGAAATTCGACCGTACGTGCCTTTAAACCCCGTACGTTCCCAGAAAAAATGATGAGAGATAAAGTCCTTGGGGTTATCAGGATTAGGATGAACTCGACCTATGTGAAATACCAATAAGCGTGAGCACGTTGAAAACACGAAAAATTATGACGCAAATATACCATTGATATGCTGCAGATCTGTGGACTGATTACTATTTAATTTGCAGATTTCTTCGTTTTGACAGTAATCAATGTGGCGATGGCGACCTAGCTCTTTACAATGCTTTATTAAATAGTAAAATCAAAGTTAATACCGATAGTACCATATATTGTATATTATAATACATCAGAAGACATACCAAATTGCAAAGAACAAACGTGCCCTGATCTCCTATCTTTAATTTATGACCACCATACTCAAATTCATCATTCTCCGCGGTAAACTCTGTTTGCACCATATTGCCATGACTGGTCTCATGCAAAGTTTGAACGTGACCATATTCCAAGGTGCACTGTTTTATAATATATGTTTATCAGTTTGTTATGTAACCGGATATACAATCCATTTCAAACTTACATAATATTCACAAAATTGGCACTATAAATAAATAAATAGCAACGATAATAAAATTTATTAATAAAATAATAACTTTATATTCACTTGACACGGTAACTGTGGGAATTTACCTGTGTATCGCAGAAATGGACTCCATCTTCATTATGACAGTGCTTCCCATCATGCTTGAACGAATATGCAGGAATTTTTCTACTGCATTGAAGCTTCTCACTAACTTGCGTATACTTTAAAAAAGATTTTTGATAATGAGAACAGATTTGTTCACAATAAAAATCCCAAGAATATCGCAATCACCTTGATGAATGTAAATGAAGCACCGCTTAATCCTTTATACGTCTGTTCGTTCTTTTTTGGCTCAGTTTGCACCTTGCATACTCCGGGATGTTCACATAGTTCTTGGCATTGATGCTCATTTCTATGAATGTAAAATGCATTTTATCTCAAGTCACCTCACGCAGCTTTCGTGTTTGAGATTCAAATTCTTACCCGCAAAAATGATCTACGTGAATCTCTGATGTAGCATGGAAGTGATCATCAGACTGACACCTTCTTTGGCAGCTAGGAATGGGACACGGAATTGGGCACGTATCGTTCTCGCAGCCTATTACGTACATGGTGAAATTAAATATTTAATAACACGTTAAAGCGACTCAAACAATAACCGATGTTTATTATTATATGTACGGTGAGTTTCATGCTCTTCTTCGCACGGAATGATGCATTTGTTTGAGCATTGATAGAGTCCCTTCTGAGTGAACGTTGATAGGGAGCAAGTGGCGCCACAATAATGTCCTACGGATATTATTTGTGAAATTTCATTTTTGAAATTTGACGAAAATTAATACTGAGCAAGATGAATTGATCATACGAATTGATTGACATAGATGAACACCGTCCTCGTGGCCAATCTCTTTGGAACATTTTTTCTGGCAGTTACGCTTGTCGTAAAGGCTACAGTTTTGACCGCACAAATGGCTGACCTATTTTATTTATAGAAGTAAATTTGGTGTACGAGGAAACGATGAAAAATAAAGAACCAATCTAACTGATTGTGAATGAATTTTACTTTGTCGCACGCATGTTTTCCTGAGTGTGCTGCTTTATGACTGCATCGTGGAATCAAGTGTCCGTTGTGAGCTTCCGAAAACTGGCATGGAGCGTGGCATTCGTGATCGGTTAAACAATCATGTTGGCCGTCAACGTGATCACGGTTCTTCAAGCATTTCAGGTTACACTCCTGACAAGTAAGGCCGCACAACGTCCAGAAAAGGGAAAGTTTGCTAGATAAAGAAAGAAGTAATTGCTAGTGTATACACACTGAAGAAGATATTTTGAAGCATTAATGATTGATTAATTTGAAGCTAACCTGATTTCCTGTTCTAATGCATAACGCCCAATAACGATCTCGCTGTTATCCTGAGAAAATTTGCTAGTGTTTTGTGTGAACCATTCGTGCAAGCGAAAGACTCGTCTCTCAATTATATATTTAAAGTATTTCTCTAATTTTGAAAACCATTCGGAATCGTCCGCGGAATCCTTCCGAGACTGAATGTTTTCCTCAAAATATACAAGCAAATCTCTAGATAAGCGAAGAAAGTCGGGATTTTCTTCAAAGAGGAGGATATCCGAATCTACAGGCAATTGGGTGGATCCCCTATAATCTTCGAAAACTTCGGAGGCTTGCAATGCGGGATCTTCAATTTCAAGGCCCGTCTCGCGGTTCTAGCGTAGAGGCCGTGTAATTCAGAAAAATATTTGAGGAAGAAGTAAAAAATGGATTTTTCGTAATACAAACAATCAATGGTTCCTTCACGGGCTCCTTTTGCTCCACTCCCAGAGACACCGCCGTTTGAAGAACTCTTCGGAGTGTTGAAATACGAATTTGCACTAAGTTCTCGTCCAAAGATCCCCAGTCACAGATCTTCAATGCAAGGAGAAAAAAAAATCCAGGATTAGCAGCACAATTTACAAGAATTTTTACATAGATAAAAATAGTTAAAAAATTCAACTCACCCTCAATTTGGCCATAATAACTTTTGTGTTTTGTAAAAAGGTACGAGCATTTTCATACCGGGCTTCCTGCCTATCTAACATTTTTTTTACATCTTTCAAGTTCTTGTACCTGGTAAAAAAAATGTGATCGAATAAAAAAAAAAAAGGACTATCAAAATAAACAAACAAAACACTAGTCGCTAAAATAAGCAATAAATCATACCATGCTACGAATTAAATCATCAATTATCCAAAATAAAGTTACGTATTGATCAGCGTCAGTTACAAACGATTTAAAGAGAAGAAACCAGGGGCAACAATGATTTTAAATTCGCGAACCAGAATCCGAAAATAATGCCCACGGAAGTATTGCGAGTCCACTTGGATACATTTTTGATATGAAATTGTCTTCTCCTTCCTATGGAATAATAGGCGTTATCATTTGAGACGATCCAAAAAGCATAATCTGAAATTTACAAACCTTGGCCACCAAAGAATTGAATTTCAACGTGAATTCCCTTACAATGTCTTCCTTATCGTTCGGTGGAACATCTTTGATTATAATGCTATCATTCTTATAATTAGCAAGGTATTCAAAAACAATCGTAATAAAGAATTGTTCGATAATTTTCGTACCAAAGCCTAGCCTATAAATTGCCGAAAAAAGGCAAATGAAGAGCTTTCATAAGTGCATGTTAAAACGATCCAAATTCTTTCGATTAATTGTGATACTCGCCTGAAATAATTTTTGATCATTCAACAACAACGCGCCATCCTGGAATCTCTGAAACATCGAGGACATATCCCGATTCACCGAGAATTGGTTCTGAGGGTTAATATAACAAATTGGTAATCGTCAATTTACTTTTAAGGAGAACATAATATTAGTTATTTGTAACCCATTTATTTTGCATACCTTGAAAAGAATCAGGTTCGAAACAACCGTGTTGAATAAGGTCAAAAATAAGTCTAAAATTTTTGCAAAATTCTTAGGTTCATGTATAAAAGATGAGCCAGTTTTAGATTTTTATGTAACTCCTTGCCTTCCTGCGGTGTTCGTTCCATTGATCGCAATCCCTCGAAATCAAGCGCAACGTATAAGCAACTTTTAGTGACGGCTATTTTCCAAATATATATATATATATAAAAGGAATGTGTGAAATTTGCATTATAAAAAAGTGCACGAGATGTTTGTACTTTACCCAATGACATCCACACGCCTTCAGTACAACGCTGATAACCATTTCAACTGGTTAGTTAACTTTGAAACTGAAGTTTTCAATGAATTTACATTAAAAATTTTGGGAATACCATTGCAGAGCCATCAAAAGTAGTTCCAACGAGATGATTCAGCTATTAGCAAATGAGTAATCAAAAATTTTGTAATCGGTCCATAAACATGATTACGTATATGAAATACAAAATTATTCATACCATGTATGATTTTCCGCAAGATTGCTCTCCCATGCTAGAAACAACTTTGACTTTTCGACTTCCGAAATACTTAAAGATTCCCTCATACCACCCAAACGAAATGCTTTGCGCAATACTGTCTACGTGATGACCATAATCATCAGTGATATCAAATTGATCTAGCTCGGTTGACAACATTCCATCTTGAAGAGGGTGAAATTGGTTATTTCTTGCGACCGCAATTTGAATGGGGATAAGACACGAAAGTTGAATGATCCATTCTCCAAATTGAAATTCTCGAGATTTCTTCCTTTGAGACTTGAAGTTGTCGGCATCAAAATCATCAAATAATTCAACAGCTAGATGCAAAAAAAAAAAAAAAAAAAAAATACAGTCAAGGTCGATCAAATAAATTTAGGTTTATGCATTGCCTTTTATGCAAATACTCACTGGTCGCGAATTTCTTAAGTGTTAAAGTAGGTTTTTTTGTGGCCCGCTTTAATTCCTCAAACATATCAGAAATATATTTCTCAAATTTCTCTTGATATTTTTCTATTTCATCTTCTCTCGATATATCCAGAAGAATCCTCAGGCTCAGAGGCCGGGCTTGTTCGGCTTCTATGCAGCCATCAATGGGATACTTCTCAAACATCAACTTGTACGCATCAATGTACCCGTTAAGCTTGGTTGGAGGCTCAATACGATAATCCATCCACTCGCATTGTGGGTCGGGTTGAAAAGTACCGGCAATTTTTAACATCGTGTCGGAGAGAATCTCCATGATGCAATATCTTTCTCCCATTAAGACAATATTCTCACCAGTAGATACGTCTCGCTCGAAATGTGTGCGTTTTCCTTGGATGAGAGAATAGTCTTTATTCAGGATTGAGGATGCGAGTTTAACTTGCCCAAGAGGTTTCCTCTGGGATTTTTGTTGAAAACTATATTGAGTCTTCTCTATGGTAATCTTGACCGTCGATGAACGAAATAAAAACTTTTCCAGATCAAGTGAAACCAAATGCATCTGGCGCTTGTACAATAAAGAAAATTGCAGATGTTCGAGGTTCAATTCAGAAGGTAATTCTATAACTATAAAAATAAGCAATTCATAATAGTTATTATAACAAGTGATGCAAAAGTACTACTCCCGTTCTCATGTGTGTGGTGAAGTAAGCACTCACCTTTATTCGCCAATTGTCCAAAATTCGAGCAAAAATACACGTGCGCGCGACAGACTTCCTTCGTTTCTGCATCCTTTTCTGATTCTTCGAGTATCGAGTCATCGACAGTAAACTTGTTGAAGTCATGGTTAAAGTTATCAAAAACGTCCGCATCATTTTCAATAGACTTGTCACATTTCTCCTGTATGCTTTCTCGAACAAAAGCCACAATGCATGCACCGTCGGGCGTGCTTAAAATTACGCTGGCATTCTCTGGAATTTGACCCACGCTAGGTCGGAATTGACCTGTCACGAGATTGTACAATCTCGCTCTTCCTCCCGCTTCGACAAAACATATCTCCTCTGTATCTTTGATGAAAAAAAAGTGACGAATATCTGGAATCATGTTGTTATACCATTGCAAAATTTGAACATCATTGTTACGGTGAAAAAGATTTTCCTTTTCTTCGTCGAACGCAAAGACATTTAACTAAAAAAAAAAAAAAGAAGGTAAATAAGGATAGTTAAAACGGGGTTACTTACAATTCATAAACCTCAATAATAACGTACCACCCCAGTTCTCGTATTATAAATTCCAAGTAATCCTTTTGGTTCATTTATGGCAAACATGCAACATTCTTCGTTGTTTAAGATCTTGAAGTGTTTCGGTGCATTTGACTCTATGTTACTGGCCAATTTTTGCGCTTTATCAAAAAATATCTCGGTCCGTTTTGTTTTTCTGTTCCAAAAGATGACAAAATATTTTTTGTTCTCAAATAGGGAGATTTTTCTTGAAGAGAGAAACAAACTCGTTAATTGAATATAAGACTACAACGAACTATTATCTTCAGATAATAATAAAAATAAAATCAAATTACCTGAGGTCATATCTTTCTGGATCAACATGAAAGGAAATCCCAACGTTCCCTCCAGAACTAGAAAATATGGGCTTAGGAATGTAGGTTTCGTCTTCTTGCAATCGAAAAATGTCCGATTGATCTAATGAAGTTTCGTAGACTGTGATTTGGAGTTTATCAGGCTGTGTTGTTTCTACTTCAAAAGTCATTCGAAATCCGCGTGAAAATGAAAGCTCTTTATTGCAATGTAGCGTCGTCGTTAGGATTGGGTGGTTATTATTGTGCAATACTAATTGACAAAATTGATCAATGGAGAGTACCTGTAACATCGTTTATTTGAAAAATACGTCTGTAGGTTGGAAAAGGAAGAGAGAAAAAAAAAAAAAATTCAAATTCAAAAGCTCACATATTTATATATTTAATGATTCGTAAGCTATAGGACCTACCCTGTAGGGAATTTCCCTTCAATTTCTAAACGAATTCTTTCAAACTCTCGTTCCTCAATTTCGTGTTTTTTCATTAGCAATTCCTCTTCATATTTCTTGGTTATTTCTACTTTTCTATCGGAATACTTTGGGGCTATTCTTTTAATATTAAGAGGGAAGACGTCCTTTCTCCATTTTGAATATTCCATCAAGAACTCGTTAATGATATTTTGCTTAATCTCTTTTGAGGTGTCAAAGGACTTCGTTTTTAGAAGGTTGTCCAAGAATTTCTCATCAGGAGTTTTAGCAGATAAAGTCACAGCACTATTAAATACTGTGTATATATGATTCTGATCTAATTTCAATGTGTCCTTGAAAAGTTGATAAAAGTAACCGAGAATTCCCGATTGTGATTTTTCGGTATACTTTTTCACCAACTGATAAGGGTCTTTTTCATTATCCATCAGTAATCCATAGAAAGTACCAAGTGCCGATTCTTTAATTTCTTCCGTATTTTCATTTTTATTGCCAGAAAACACCTCCCTTATGATTAGAGATGTAAATACATATCGGACTTTCAAGGCCTTCCAAGAATCAGAATTGATCCGTATCGCATGTTTAATTTCCGCAGATATACCGGTATACTTTGTTTCAAGTTGTTGAACTGTCATTAATACCAGCATTTGTTGTTAGTGCACAAAAAAATTGAATTATAATTTTAAAATTCCAAAGGATACTTACGCGGTCCGTCAACTCCCTGTACGCTCGAAAGGTCGTTCACCACTTCTTCGAATGTCCTATGAAAACAGCATACGTTAATATTTAATTGGAATATAGGATTGCAATGATAAGTTACTTACGGATAACATTCTTTCAATAATTTTTTTGCAATCTCTCCAACCAATTCGGCATCTTTTATTATATTTTTGATTTCAAGTTCTTTCTTTGATTCGATTAACCTTTCGGCTTCTTTGACGGCATTGTCAAACGGTCCCAAAAGCTCTTTCTCCATTCGTAGTCCATTTTTTACAAGTAATCTCAAGGCCTTCATACTCATTTCTTTATTTATTTTTAATGACCTTCCTTTAAGCCTTTTGTCAAATTCGGTTTTGAAAGATCCTGGTCCATAAGCTGTGTGCTGTGATTTTGTCATTGAGATCGAAGAAGTAATGATATTACGTGTAGCGAAGGCTTGGTGGCAAACTGACTCTACAACTAAATTTGATAATGCGGAAATCAATAAATAGATCGAGACACGATGAAAAAATAGTCTATTAAATAATTACTAATGGGGCTTAATTGCGCTTTGTTTCTATCGTTCTTTTCAACATTCCCCTTCGCAGTTTGCGGCAGGCTGACCTAAAGGAAAAAAATATATAATCATCAGAAATTATCAGGATAAGTAAGCATTTGAATCACCCAAATCGTTAATAGAGTGATTACCTCGAAACCCCTGGAGAACTTAAAATTCTCTTGTTCCTCCTTACTTTTCTTAACTTCGAATTCAAAGTACCTATCATTATCATCATCATCATCGTCCGAGTTTTGTTCATCATTCTCCGTGTCCCACTCAAAACATTCCAGGTCTTTATCGCTCATGAGACAAATTTGCTCGTCGGTAAGTTTTGTGAGATATCTAAAATAATGAAAATCAATCAACATCATCGAAGCCAAGGTCACATATACGCAATAAAGATTTAATATCATCACAATCATTATTATTTCTCTCACCTATGCAAGTTGGTCATGTTTTTTTTGCGATGAGAAGGAGCACTCTCTTCATAACATCCTGGTTCCGGCCAATGAATCACTAGTCCTACGTCGGGATTCACAATCAGTAAATAAATACCCGGTCGAATAGATGATTTATTTCCATTTTCATGAACGTTTCGTGATGTTCGCGTGGTCGAAGTGAGACAATCAAAGCTATAACGATAGTAATAGTGATTATTAATTTTGCATTCAATAACAAATAGTTAGAATTGCAAAACGACATCATACATTTGTTGATCAATTATATTTTTTCTCAATAAGAGTTTGGCAATCAATGTGTGGTTCCCGTAGCATCCAATAAGACGAAATGAAAGTAGGTTCAAACTGTTGTAGTCAATTTCCGAGATCGATGTATAACTGCTAGGTACCATATCATTGCAAAGCTTTTTTAAAGAATCTTTGGAGATGATAATTTTATCAACTAAAAACAAAGGACGTGAATGCGAAACAATAAATTAGTTGGCAAAATGATAATTGCCATACGTATTTAACAAAAATCACTAGAATAAAGTACCCAATCCGTTTGACCCGTCCTCTTTATGTAGTTCTAACAGGCGATAAAACCCTGGTACGTAATTTGCAATATCCTCGTCAACAACATCGGTACTTTTGTTCCTCAATCTATTTCTATGATTAAGGATAGCTGTAGCAATGTACTTCTTGAAACCGTCCCTTGGATTTTCAAAACTATTAATGCTTTCATTACACCACTGTTTTTCTTTGGAATCGTTTTGTGATATAGGAGAATCTTTCAGATAGCTTGATGGAAGATCGCCAAAACTAGAAGAAGGACTCTTCGAATCGCACTCATTTTTCTCATCTCCGTTCATCTCTGAAAAAATGTCGGTGCTCATGAGCTGACTGAGATTTTGTGCCTTGATATCTCTTGGAGCGCTTTCGGTTTTCTCATCTCCGCTCGAATTTTCAGCGGCAAAAATGTCGAAATCCTTTAGTTGGAGGGTTTTTGTTTTATCGAAAGAATTTTCCGACTTGTAGGACGAACCATCTTCGCTAAATTTGAAGTTATTTTCGGAGTCAATCTGTCTCTGAGAATTCGGAATGAGCTCATCTTGTCGAGTGGTATCTTCCGACGATTTGTCAGTATCCGAGATCGCACCCTCGTGATTTGAAGAGTCCTGGAGATCTCTTGATAGTGAGGAGTCCGGAGCATGATCACGTTCAGAATGATCTGCGATTGTGTTCTGGGCGGTTTGAGAATTCGAAGGATCCCTTGCAACAGGCAAAGTGTCCGGAGGATTGACGAGAAGGGCGGGTGACGCCAATTCGCCTTGGTGTTCTAAAAACGGCAAGTGTAAATAATGTATGGTAAGAAAGCAGAGCAATAAACTAAGAAGCAACCGATTTTCTGTGACTTACCGTTATTATCCTGAACAGGCCCGGAACCGTCGCGTATTTGCATTACGACAGGATTATAGAAAATCTTTCGTTTGCGAAATCTTTCTTTATATATACTGTAGGTACATCTGCGCAGTTTAAAAATTTTTTTTGTAATTGTTTCCGGTTATAATTAACAATGCAAAGTTGACATACTGTATAGTTATTATGTACGATCTAGTTAATTGGCTAAAAAAAATTCCCGATGATAGAAAAAAAAATTCCCACGAAAGCTAACTTCACGAAGTATGGGAAATTTTTCGAATGTGTCAATTTTCCGATAGAATTTTAGAATACTGTATATGGCATTGAATAATAATGACATAATTTGCACATCTCTTCATATTAATAGTGACACGCAGCACTTACTAATTAATGATGTAAACTTTTAGCTAAATAACAAAGATTTTACTGCTTTACATATCAAAACGAAAGCTTCTTCGATACAAGAAAATAAAAAAAAAAAGTTCCCATGTTTTTTTTTTCTTGTCGGGGTATCATTATGTACACTCTGCACGGGAAAAAAAAACCCCCCAACTAGCGTAGTTATAGTTAATTAGTTTCAGAAAACGTCAATAAATGAAATAATCTCTTTACATCATGCTTTTAAACTATATATTGAAAATTCTTCTATGGGGCCTAGAATTATTAATTATTTTTTTCCATCATAATTTTCATTTGACTGCAAGATGACCTTGAAAGCCGTTGCCGTTCTTCATGGTGATAAAAAATTCGAAAGTGATTCTGTCCACGGTATCGTTAAATTCACTCAGGAGGATGAAAACGCACTGACTCTTATTGATGTGGAAATTGAAGGGCTGACTCCTGGGGAACATGGATTTCACGTTCAGTGAGTTTCATGCAAAAAAAAATATATAGACTTATCATTATATTGGACGTTAAAGTTTTTTATTGTTATGTAACAAAGCGAATTCGGCGACAACACCGACGGATGCACATCAGCCGGCGATCATTATAATCCCACCAACAAACATCACGGTGCACCTCAGGACGAAGTCCGTCATGTTGGTGATCTAGGCAATATCTCGGCTTCCGAAAATGGTACTGTGAAGACTAAAATTAAAGACAAATTCATCGCCTTAGTCGGCCCTCATTCGGTGGTCGGGTGAGTGGAAAAAGATGAAAATCCAAATCGCAAATATTTCGATATCATCCTGCTAACTGCCATTTGAATGTAGTCGTACAATCATCGTTCACGCCGACAAAGATGATCTCGGAAAAGGAAATCATCCGCTTTCTCTATCCACCGGAAATGCTGGGGCTCGTGTTGCGTGTGGAATAATCGGTAAACAATGGGATTTATTTAAACTCTATCAGTATGACGGGTAATTCATAAAATTAAAAACCGTTATCAAATCCAGGATACGCGAAGTAACGTGACATTATTAATGGAGCGAGGTGTTCTTTTTTCTTTGTATATTTCTTAAACAACAAAATATTTTATGATATGCAACAATAGCTTGCCATGAAATTTGTCGGGCACATATTCAATAAACTGTATTTTATTTTTTAATTCTTATACAGTAAATACAATTGCTTTAAATTTTAGCTAAGTTGATATTTTAACTTATTGATTTGCCCTTTTGTAAATAGTTTTTTAGTTTAAAAATAGTTTTTTGACTTAAATAAATTTAAAAAAACTGTTTCACATAAGAATCTATCTATTTATTTACTGTATTTTTTCAAGTTTTTTTTTTTTTTTTTTGTAAAGTAATTTGCATCCAGATTAAATCGAGAGTTTATTAATCAAAAAAATATATCCACTTGAGTAGCATGATATATATTATTGCTTACAAATCTAACTAATTCATAATAGGCAATAAAAAGTCTCTAAGTTTGATCTTGAGGTCAATTTATTATTTCATGATAGATTTTGAATATAAATCCATCTAGTCTTTACAACATAATTAATAAATTATCTGATTATGTAATACTCAACTCTTTCTCGTAGATCCCTGACTACCACTTCCAAAGAAGCGTTCCTCCAAAACTTTATGTTTTGAGAGTAATAAAACTTCAAAAC